TCTGCCTGTCCTTCCTGCAGGGAAGCCTAGAGCGATGTTTCCAGCCCTCACAGCTCACCTGTACTCTTAGGTTTCTGTGGCAGCCATCCCATCCCTAGGTACTATGGGTATGAGCCCAGGATGCCTGAGCCTGCCCAGGTCAGAGGCAAGAGCTGGCTGGGAAGCTTCTCACTCAGCCTTCGATGCAGTTGACTCTTCCTGCCCATGGTGCACACAGCTGGGTATACAACATTCCCATCCTGACTCTGGGGAGAGTGTCACTAGCACATGCACTGTACTGGAGGGGACTGTGACCAGGGTCATCTCTGGTGTGCTGATTCAGCCTCTCTTTGATGCCGCAGCAGTGGCAGGGATGGAGACACAGCAGCTGCGTGAGCCCCATGGCAGACCTGCTCTGCATGCCTCACTTGTGCTGTCTAACTGTTCCCAGCGGGAAGGGATGTCACAGTCTGAGGTCCAGAGAGGTTAGGTGACGTGTCCATGGCCGTGCAGCAGGATTGGCTGAGTCAGCACCTGGGTCTGGACAGTCTTTCTGCTCAGAGGCCCACAGAGCCCCTGTACTGAGATAGCCCCATGCTGGGCAGTGGCCAAGAGAGACAGGACCTGTGCACATGGGGCTGTCCTTCTAGCAGGAAGATGTCCCTAGAAGACCATCCAGACTGGATGAGAAGAATAATTGTGACAGACCTTCAAGGAGACACTGTCCTGGCAGGTTAAAGAAAGAGGAAGGGATAGGGCAAAGGCTGTGAGGTTGGGAGGTTCTGCCCATCCTTTGCACCGCCTACTGGGAGAAGACAGCGCTGCCTCTGGTCAGGATGAAGAGAGCACAGTTGTAATGGATTCCACGTGTCTCCAACCTCCCAACACCAGGGCACTGTCTCTGATTCATCACTTCGTGGGGCTGTCCCTATTGTGGGGATTTATGCCAGGTGTTGGGCTCTTACCTGTGGCTACAGTAAAAAGCTGTCCTCGATAAAATGGAGGCCTTGGCTGGAGTAAAGGACATTGAGGCGTCCCTGAGCAGTAAGCTCACTTTTGTGGGCCTCAGTTTCCTGGTTTGGGAAACAGGAAGGAAGAGGACTCCACCCACCGAGATGTGTTTGGGGGAATCCATGGTAGACCACTGTATGTGCCTGGCACATGCCTGCCAGAGCTCCAGCTGTGTGAGCCCCAGTGTTGTAGGCTGACACTCATACTGTGTGTGTGTGTGTGTGTGTGTGTGTGTGTGTGTGTGTGTGTGTGT